AAATGTTTTGACCCCTAAAACCCTTTAAACCCTCAAAAACTAAACTATAATACAACATAATTAATCCGAACATAAATTATATAATGAACTTTTTTTTTTTGAAAAAGTGGTTTTTTGCAAAGATTTTGAAAATGTGACATTTTTGAAAAGTGACATTTTTTGAAATTTCTCTTATAGGGGTGGTACTGATCGAGAAATTTTTAAAGAATAAACCAATTGATTTTAGTTGATTTATAGAATTCCACCAAAATCAGAACAAAATGGGTGAGAAATGGTTTCTTCACAATTTTTTATTAGAATTATATTAAAAAAAATAAATGACAATACCATAAATACTGCATTAAAATTGAATAACACTAGTTTTTAATAGAATTAAGATTTTAATACATTGAATAACACAAGAATTTAAAAGAATCCATTATATAATTAGACACTTTTCTCTCCATCTAGAATGTCCACATAGGAAAAAAATTTTCTTAAAGCATTTAAGTTTTAAAATAGTCATTTACTACACACTAAATCATATTTATTATTTTTTATAACCAATAAAAAATTAAATTAGATTAAAAACGTTAAGACTAAATAAAATGAATGAAAATAAAAATTAATAAATACAAGACTACACATGATTWTAGTAGTAATGATAATATGAATTTTGTTTTACCAAAGTTATATATTACACATATAAAAAACCTAAAATGTGTGTATGGATTTTATATATGAATTTTGTTTTACCAAAATTATATATTACACATATAAAAAAACCTAAAATGTGTGTATGGATTTAATAATTAAAAAGTTATTAAAAATCAACTGACGTAATAAAATGTTAAAGAAAATTATTTTTAGATTATTTTTAAAAGTTATATATTCCATGAAATAGAAAAGATTTTTTCTTACTAAAAAGTTCATAGTTAAAAAAAAAATAAAAATCTTACATTCAACCACACATTAGGAAGACAAACTTTTAAGAAATCGTATCTTAAAACCTCAACTATTTTTCTACAATGAACAAAAACCAAAATATATATAAACTTACCAGACGAAGATAAATGACAAAAAAATATATAAAACAAAAGAAACTACGGGTCTCTTTAAATCTGACTAGCAAAATCTTAAATCAAAGTTGAAGAAAAAAATCTATACTTTACCGATGAAGAGATAAGCTTTCTCATTCATCGATTGAAAAAAAATGTAAACAACAAGCAAACAAGATGTTGTTCAGTATATTCTATATGCCACATTATTAAAAAAATTCTGAAATGCTAAGTATAAGATAATAACAAAGTGACATTGTGAAGACATATGAAAACCAACTATGATTGATAATTCATACTACTATAAAGATAAATTAGAAAATGACTGATAAATTTTATCTGCAAATTTGTTATCGATTATTTAGATAACAAGATTTATCTAGTGGCCTAATATATGTACATAACAAAGTTTTTAAAAAATAAATTTTAAATAATAACTTTGATATTTTCGTGCATCTTTAAAACTAATTCAAAACATTTATTTATTTGATTTCAAATCAAATATTAATTTATATATCAAAGATCTAATTGTTTTTATCATAACATAAATACTAAATCCATGAATAAATATTATTAAACTGAATAAAAATATAACAAAATCTCGCGCGAATGCGCGGGTCATATTCTAGTTCATAAAATAGACAATTGAATAACAATAAAATTTGATAAAATGTTTAATTCTTTCAAAATCAATTAAATTCTTGAACTGAATCCCACCTCTTAATTATGTAGCTTTTAAACAATGAATGAGAATCTAAATATTCATAATTATCCTAAAATATATTATACCAAGATTAATATACAAAGATGATAAATACGAGAGATTTTACGTTTTTTTTATTTAAGGTTTTCAAAAGGGTCAATTAGTTGAATAACCAAAAAAAAATGTTATCTAATAATCTAACTAAAACCTCTAAATTTAATGATTAAGATTTGGCCATATAGATGTTTTTTGATAGATTATTAGATATGTTTATTTTTAATAGTCATTCATACCAATTTCTCTTTTCAAAATTAATGATTTTGTTATAATCAAAGAAAAAAAAATTGAAACCAAAAAAAAAAAGTACAAAACCTAAAGTATTTAAAAGCCCACACACTCTCTAGTGTGCAGTCATCACCAAAAACGAATCCAATACCAAAAAAAAAGCAGAGAAGAAGAAGAAATGTCATCCATGGAGTCACTGATTCTCCAGCTCCACGAAATCGGAGCCGTGAAATTCGGAAACTTCAAGCTCAAATCCGGAATCTACTCACCGGTTTACATCGACCTCCGTTTAATCGTCTCTTACCCTTCTCTCTTAACACAGATCTCTCAAACTCTCATCTCTTCTCTTCCTCCTTCCGCTACCTTCGACGTCGTCTGCGGCGTTCCTTACACCGCTCTTCCAATCGCCACCGTCGTCTCCGTCTCCAACAACATCCCGATGCTCATGCGCCGCAAGGAAATCAAAGACTACGGAACTTCCAAAGCTATTGAAGGAATCTTCGAGAAGGATCAGACTTGTCTCATAATCGAAGATCTTGTGACCAGTGGCGCGTCGGTTCTCGAGACGGCGGCTCCGCTTCGTGCGGTTGGGTTAAAGGTTAGTGACGCGGTGGTTCTGATTGATAGGCAACAAGGTGGTAGGGAGAATCTGGCGGAGAATGGGATTAAGCTTCATTCGATGATTATGTTGACGGATATGGTTAGGGTTTTGAAGGAGAATGGGAAGATTGAAGAAGGTGTGGAAGAGAATTTGCTTAAGTTTTTGGAGGAGAATCGTAGGGTTAGTGTACCGAGTGTGGAGAAATTGAATGTGAAACCTAGGGTTTTAGGGTTTAAGGAGAGGTCGGAGATGTCGAAGAATCCGATGGGTAAGAAGCTGTTTGAGATTATGATGAAGAAAGAAACTAATCTCTGTTTAGCTGCTGATGTTGGAACCGCTGCTGAATTGCTAGAAATAGCTGATAAGGTTAGAGAAACATTCGTATATTCAAAGAATTTTGGTATCAGAATTTGAAGAAATTCCATTTGATTATATATGTTTAGTGATCTCTTTTCAAATGTTTTTATGTTGATGAAGGTTGGACCAGAGATTTGTCTCTTGAAGACTCATGTTGATATTCTGCCTGATTTCACCTCTGACTTTGGCTCTAAACTCCGTGCGGTAAGTTTACTTCTATTGATTTGGTATGATAGGTTTGGTTATACAAAGAAAGTGAAAGATTGTAGTAATCTCTACAATATAATATGAATCTTATGCTATGATGAAGACTTTTTAAATTCCCTCCAGTGGGATACCATTTGGTTGTTATTGATTAGCCGGCTTGCGGAATTTTATCCCTTTTTGATGCTCGTTGATCTATTGTTATGGTTATACTTCAGATTGCAGACAAGCACAAGTTTCTCATATTTGAGGATCGCAAGTTTGCAGACATTGGTAACACTGTCACAATGCAGTATGAAGGGTAATTGTTTCTACATTATGTCACTTTGCCTTTCATTGAAGTCTTTTCAAGTTTTCATAACATTTCTCTGTTGTGGTTTGTTTGCAGAGGCATCTTTAAAATATTAGAGTGGGCTGATATTATAAACGCTCACATAATATCAGGTCCAGGAATTGTGGATGGCCTGAAATTGAAGGTATTTTCATCTCTATTTACCGGATAATTCATTTCTTTCGGTTTTACTAATATTTTGGGGTTATTCCAATATAACTTTGATTACAGGGTTTGCCTCGTGGTAAGGGTCTGCTTTTGCTTGCTGAAATGAGCTCTGCGGGTAACCTTGCTACAGGAGACTACACTGCCGCGGCCGTGAAAATCGCAGATGCCCAATCCGATTTCGTGATGGGATTCATCTCGGTTAATCCGGCGTCTTGGAAATGCGGATATGTGTATCCGTCTATGATTCATGCAACGCCTGGTGTTCAAATGGTGAAAGGTGGTGATGCACTTGGTCAACAGTATAACACTCCACACTCTGTGAGTCTCTCTCCCAATCTTTTGCATTCATAGTTAAGAATTTAGGCAAATATCTCGGGAATATAAACTCGATTGCACTTTTCGTTTTTACAGGTGATTACTGAGAGGGGAAGTGATATTATCATCGTAGGACGGGGAATCATAAAGGCGGAAAACCCAGCAGAGACAGCTCACGAGTATCGACTTGAAGGCTGGAAAGCATACTTGGAGAAATGCTCTCAGTAGATTCGATCCTGAGAATTGTGATTTTGTGTTCTGATGCTATAAGTTTGTGGAAGCTTTGTGTGATTTATGTGAGGATGGATTTAAGACTCATGTCTCGTTGATTTGTCACTTTTATCTCAAGATCTCAATAATATGTAGAGTTTAATCTCACATACGATTGTATTATTTGGTTGTCTTGTCACTAATTTAGATAATCTCACATTTTCTGGATGATGAATGATTAATCCTCTGGATTTGGCTGGGGAATTGTCGATTCTTGAAAAATCGATTTGACTTTGATTACATCAAACCTTCCCTAAATCTTTATGTGCTGAGACAAAATATAGAGATAGCAAAATTTTTAAAAAATAACTGGAAATTAGTTGGGTAATTAGTTATATTACTTTTGAAAAGTATATAATAAAAGAAACCTTAAGGTGCACGCTACTCGCTCCGTATTCATAGAAACAAAACCTAGAATTTAGGGTACGTCATTATCTGTTTCCAGAATTGCCTCCAAAGATGAGCACAGAAACAGACAAGACAGAGATGGTGATGTGTCGGTTAATAGATCCCGAAGGAGTTCCTTTAGGCTCCCCTATGTATATCCCTAAGCAAGCAGGGCCTTTGGAGCTTACCGATCTAGCCAATAAACTTCTCAACAATGTAATTGCTTAAAGGAGTGTTTTATTCGCTGTTTTTACTTCAAATATTGATGCCTTTTCGTTTGGTTTGTATGGAATTTGGGTGTTTTCAGGATGAGAATTTGGCCTACGCTTTCTATGTTTCAGGCGAGGAACTTTGTGTGCCCGTTGGAGCTTACTTAGAGAAAATAAAAGATACCCCTTTGGTTGGCACTATGAAATCTAATCTATCTCTTCGTCCATGTCCTGACGGTAAGCAGTTAGCAAGTGGTTCGAGTGATAGTATTGTCCGGCTCTGGGATCTCAACACTCAGACTCCAATGTTTACATGCCGAGGTTACTAGTTAATCTTTCCCTCTATAGTTTTGTCTTCCTGATGATGTTCATATTTGTTTCTAATGTGTGTGTCCTCTAACTTTTAGGGCACATAAATGCGGTTTTGTCGATTGCATGGTCTCCAGATGGTAATCACCTAGTGAGTGGTGCTGCAACTGGTGAAGTCTGTTGCTGGATACCGAAAACCGGAGAGCTAGATGGCAATCCACTTACAGTAAAGTCTTTTTCGTTTTGTTTTGTTTTGATGGTGATTTAATATGTAGTGAAAATCTCCTGTCTTGTGTTGGTGAATCTCTCTATTGCTTGATAGATTGATAATAAACTTCTCCTGCAGGGCCACAAGAAATGGATTACTAGTATCGCGTGGGAACACGTCCACAAGGATATGGGACACTACACTAGGGAAATCTCTAACTAACTGTTCTCAGTGGACATACATGTGTGTCTTGTGTCAAGTGGTGCGGGGAGGGAGTTATATATACATGGTATGTTTCTACTATTGTCGAAAAGCTTAGATCATGTGCATTGTTGGTATTGCGTAAAATGTCATGTTCTCACTTCTTTCTTGCGGCTATTCAAATATATGTCTTGTGTTTGGCAGCTCTCAAGATGGTACAATAAAGATGTGGGAAGTTACTCAGGAGGGGGCTCTCTGTTTGAAGAGCCTACAATTGATGGTAAAAACCTCATCTTTGAAGTTTTCTATTCGCTTTGGATGGTTCTTACTTGCTAGCAGCCTTATTTTCCTCTTGCGTATTATTCAGTTACCTCGGGGGCATGTACATCGAGTGGAATCTCTTGCATTGAGCACAGAATATGTTCTCCGGACAGGAGCCTTTGACCACACTGGAAAACAATATTCTTCACCTGAAGAAATTATAGAGGTAAAGATCTCCACTATTCCTTCAATTTGTGCCATTAACCCTGTGTCTTCTTCTGATCTAATTAGGCGGCGCTCAAAAGATACGAACAAGCAAAAGGAAAGTCGGGCGAAAGATTAGTCTCGGTTCACTGTGACTATACAATGTTTCTTTGGGAAGGGGCGTTTAGCGAACACCTTACATAACAAGCGCGTAAACCATGTGCAATTCTCACCTAATGGCCAGTGGATTGCAAGTGCGTCAGGATGATAAAACTGTCAGGATATGGGATGGTATCACAGGGGATTATGTTACAACTTTCCGTGGCCATGTTGAACGTGTTTTTGAGATCAGGTTGGGTAAAATTTGGCTTCCTCTTTCCATGTTTTCTACTTTGTAGTGAAGAAATATTAAGCTTTTGGTTCATTCTCGCACCGCGCAGTTGGTCCCCGGACAGTAGGATGGTTTTAATTTGTAGTAGAGACGCTACTCTTAGAGCATCCACATTGGAGATATTTTGTGGGTGTCTCACAATATAAAATTATTAAAATTTGAGTAAAAAGAAGAAAGAGAGTGTTTTTTGTTGAAATAGTGTGGTGTATTGAAATATAAAATTAATAAAATTTGAGTAAAGAGAAGAGATAGTGGGTATTTTTGGAGAGATTGTGTTTTGGGGAAGACATAAGAGAGAGAGTATTGGGGTGTGTTTAAATATAAAATTAATAAAAGTTGAGTAAAAGGATGAAAGAGAAGGTATAAAGTTGAGTAAAAAGATGAATGAGAAGGTATAAAGTTGAGTAAAAGAAAGAGAGAGTGTGTTTTTAATATTTTTATATTGTGAGACATTGGTAAAATGTCTCCAATGTGGATGGCCTTAAGGTAAAAATCTTGTTATGATGTCATGAATCATTACATAATTCTGGAGGTATCTCTTGTGATTTCTAATCCTTGCTTTGCACAGATATGGGAAATCGGACAGAGAAAATTAAAGCAAGATCTTGTTGGTCATACGGAAATGGTATAAAATCTACAGAAACTCAACTTATTCTTAATTGTGTGACTTTGATTATGTACCATTTGAACTTCTTCGTACAATAATGTTAATTGGACTAAATGAGGTTCATTGAACTAATGGGCCGGTTCGATATGACCAAGAGAACAAATTAAAAATATGTAAAACCGATATTTGTCGTAATGAACACGTAGGACTATTGAGGTACACTTGGAGATGTTTTTATTGGTTAATGTGTCACACGTGGAACTTTCGCTTGATTGTTTTGCTGAGGTGGACGAGAGAGAACCAAGGGATGAGATTTTTTCCCCTAATATAAATCCTAATTTTTTTCACCTCAGTTTTTTTGTTCCGTCGGGAGAAAGCGAAAGATGCGAATTTTTTTCCCAAGAAATTAGAAACAAAAGCTTTAATTTCGCACTCGATCCCGTCGTCGGATTCGATTCTTCCGATGGCTGTTTCCGGAGAATTCACGGATCACAAACTCTGTGGTTTTCTCCGTGCCGTTGTTGCCGTCGATTCCCCGCCTTGTCGACTTTCATTGGGCTCCTCTTGCTTCATCTTCAATGATGGTTCCGTCACCGGTTTCAAATCCGACGATGGCTTGATCTTATCCCTCATCAATCCTACCTCTAATCTCAAATCCCTGATTTCGGAAGGAGATCAGGATGCTGAGAATTGTGGAACAATGGAAGACGGTGGATTGGAGAGAGAGAGCACACGAAAGTCTCGAGGATCTCAGAAATCGAAGAGACGGGTTTCTTCTGGGAGCAAAAGCGTTCAGCGAGAGAAGACCGGAGAGGGAAGGAAGAAGGTGAGGAGTATAGGCATGGTGAATGGAAGCATAAGTGTAGTGCAGCAACTTCACACTTTGGTTACCAACAAATGTTTGAAGATGATTTGCCGAGTTGTGAAGGCTGATAAAGGTGATGATGGAGAAGAAAGAGCTGTGGTATTAGTTGATGTGTATCTGCCTATTGCATTGTGGTCAGGATGGCAATTTCCTAAATGCAAGGCTGCTGCTGCTTCGTTGATTAAGCACTTGAGGTAATTTGTTTCGAATTGAGTCTCCATCTGTAGCTAGGACAATTCTTAATCGTCGTTGTTTGGTTTAGAGTGAATAAGTGGATATGGTCCTGGAAATTTTAGGCTTTGTAGGTGAGTGCTGATGCTAAGAGTAAGAGTAGAATTCTGGTCTTGTGTGTGTGATTCTGAGGTGAGAAATTATTTATGACTCCTCGTTCCTATGGAATTTTATTAGATATCTCCATGAGAGTATCCGTGGAGGATGTAATATTAGTTTTCTATTTGTTCTGTATCACTTTACTGATCTTTATGCTGATATGTCTAAAGGGAATGTATGTGTTGCTATGATGAATGGGAACTTCTTTTGTGAATGGGTGTTAAAAGATACTTCTATTGCCTTTTTTAATGTATTCAAGTTCTTTGCAGCTGTGATTGGGGACTGAGAAGCTCAATCCTTAATGGGGAAAGTATTTGGGAAGAGGCAAATGGAAGAATAAAGGCTATCTGGGATTTATCTGACTGCCATGTGTTTGATTGCAAATTACACTGTAATACCCCAGATTCTCCAGAAAGAAGATTATTTAAACTACATAAAATCTTTAAGAGTTTGCCCAGTCCAGGAAATTATGGCATGCTTGATTCTTCTAGAGTGTCACCATCCGCTGACTCTTGTGCATCTGGCATTTGGGATCTCTCTGATGACATTATGATTAGCATACTGATGAAACTTAATCCAAAGGACCTTATTAGCGTTGCAGGAGTCTGCCGTCTCTTGAGATCATTGGCATTTGTAGTTGTGCCATGTATGAATTTAAAACTCTTTCCTCACCAGCAGGCAGCAGTTGGTTGGATGTTGGAGCGTGAGAGGAAAGCTGAAGTTTTCTCACATCCCCTATACTTGAACTTTGATACTGAGGATGGGTTTAGTTTCTATGTAAATGTCGTGTCTGGTGATATAATCACTGAGGCAGCTCCCATGGTCCAGGATTTCCGTGGGGGAATGTTCTGCGATGAACCAGGTCTAGGTAAGACGATAACAGCATTATCTCTTATTCTAAAGACGCAGGGAACAATGGCTGATCCGCCTGAGGGACTTCCTGTCGTTTGGTGTACACATAAAGGTGACAAAAAATGCGCTTATTATGAGTACACAAGTGACCAGTTCACTTCTAACAGCATGTTTACTGTAAAGAGGTTTCTAAGTCCAAGTAGCTGTCGAAGCCAGTTATCTCTTGACGCCTTTTGTCCACTGCTGGAGTCAAAATCTTTGCCACATAAGAAAGCTAGGCTGACGGATTCAGATGGTCAAACTTTTGAGTCTCAGAACTCAAACTTTGAAAACGAATTTGAAACTCCCATCCCTGCTTCCCTAGATTTAGAAGCTCAACGTAGAAAGAGCTTGGGTAATGTCAGAAAAAATCTCTTGCATGCATATAATGGCGCATCTGAGCTCTCCGAAGTGATGGAAGCTGAAAGAATTGTTAGTTGGAAGAAGTGTGGTAGGATAACTGGTTCTAAGAGAAAGGGTCCTACTGATTTGGATGTGGTAAGCGATAGTTGGATACAGTGTGATTCTTGCTCAAAGTGGCGAAGACTAATAGATGAAGGTGTATCTGTTGCTGGTTCTGCATGGTTTTGTAGCAACAATAGTGACCCTGCATATCAGAGTTGTAGTGATCCTGAAGAATTATGGGATATGTCTCAACCTATAAATTCTTTGCAAGGGTTCTATACTAAGGGAACTTCTGGTGCAGAAATTGGCAATATCTCTTTCTTCACCAGTGTCCTTAGGCAACACAAGTCTTCAGTAAACCCAACCGTAAACAAAGCCTTAATTTGGCTTGCTAAGCTCCCTCTTGAGAAGCTCTCACAGATGGAAACAGTTGGCTTACCAGGTCCACTGTTGGGTAGTCGTTTGAATCAAGATGTACTTGGATTCCAGAGAATATTTCGAGCATTTGGTCTTACGAGTAGAGTTGAAAAGGGTGTCACTAGATGGTATTATCCGAAGTTTCTTAAGAACTTAGTATTTGATTTACCTGCTCTCAAGGTTGCTCTTTGTCAGCCGCTGGATACATGTAGACTGTATTTGTCAAAAGCAACTCTAATCGTTGTGCCTGCGAATTTAGTTGATCACTGGAAAACACAAATCCAAAAACATGTCAGCCCTGGTCAGCTACGTATCCTCATTTGGACTGACCATAAGAAACTTTCTCCGCACAGCCTGGCTTGGGACTATGATGTTGTGATCACAACTTTTAGTCGCTTAAGTGCAGAATGGAATCCTCGAAAGAAAATCAAAAGCCCATTGATCCAAGTGCATTGGCTGAGGGTCATGCTAGATGAAGGACACACTCTTGGTTCTAGTCTCAGTTTGACAAATAAATTTCAGATGGCTGTTTCTCTGGCAGCTTGTAGTCGTTGGTTACTGACAGGAACACCAACCCCGAACACGCCAAATAGCCAGCTTTCGCATCTCCAATCTCTTTTAAAGTTTCTTCACGAGGAAGTATATGGAGAAAATCTAAAGTTTTGGGAAGCAGGCATCCTTAGACCATTTGAAGCAGAAATGGAGGAGGGTCGTTCGCGTTTACTTCAGCTGCTTCAGAGATGCATGATAAGTTCTAGAAAGAAAGATCTGCGGATGATTCCTCCGTGTATCAAGAAGTTGACATACCTTAATTTCGTTCCAGGGCATGCAAGAAGCTACAATGAACTGGTGGAGACAGTTAGGCGTAATATCTTATTAGCTGATTGGAATGACCCGTCTCATGTGGAAAGTCTGCTTAACTCTAAACAGTGGAAATTTCGAAGCGCTACCATCAGAAATGTCAGACTATCTTGCTGTGTGGCTGGGCATATTAAAATGACTGACGCTGGTCATGATATTAAAGAGACAATGGATGTTTTACTTGAAAGTGGTCTGGACCTTTCGACCGAAGAGTATTCTTTTATTGAAGACAGCCTTATTAGTGGTTGTAACTGCAAAAGGTATGTCTTAAATCCGATGCTGTCATAACTTTAGGGCATTTGATACAAGTATCTAAAACTTTGCTTTTGTTTCTCAATCTTATTAATAGATGTGGGGAATGGTGCCGACTTCCTGTAATCACTCCATGTAGACACCTACTGTGCCTTGATTGCGTAGCTCTTGATAGTGAAAGGTGTACTTTTCCTGGTTGTGGATACTTGTATGAGATGCAAACTCCTGAAGCGTTGGCTCGACGAGAAAATCCAAATCCAAAGTGGCCTGTGCCAAAAGATCTTATTGAGTTACAGCCTTCGTATAATCAGGTATATATGGGTATAACCATCTTGTAAGTTAACGATTTGTTTCCTGGAGGGTAATACTCAAATGCTATCACTCTATTATTCAGGATGACTGGAATCCTGACTGGCAATCTACGTCCAGCAGTAAAGTCAGTTATCTCGTGGAGAGGCTGAGGAAGTTACATGAGGGTAATAGAAAAAGCATTTTGTCTTTCAACAAGACTAACAATGACAACCTGGAAGACAATTCCCCTGGTACCTCGGAAGCTTTTTCAGGGAAAGAATTCCATGGACAGGATTGTGGATCTCAGATGGGACTTATCGATAAAGTTTTGATTTTCTCTCAATTTCTTGAGCACATTCACGTGATTGAACAACAGGTATGAATCACTATGTATTTGTAAGCTCATTCTTTGTTTTTCACTTGTGGTTTGAGCTTTGAGCAATTTTATATTATTTTGTAGTTGACAATTGCTGGCATCAAGTTTGCTAAAATGTACAGTCCAATGCAGTCGGCTAATAAGGTACTTGGCTATTGATGTTTGCTTCTTTCTCACGTCTTGCTTTCCTTTAACTTTGGATTTCAACTTTTCTGATGAATTCTCTGGCTATTGGTGTATGTTTCTTTCTCACATCTTCCTTTCCTTTAAAATTTATATACACTTTCGATTTCAACTTTACAGATGAAATCTCTGGCCATGTTCCAGCACGATGCTGATTGCATGGCACTTTTGATGGATGGAAGTGGTGCCCTAGGTCTTGATTTGAGCTTCGTAACACATGTATTCCTGATGGAACCAATCTGGGATAAAAGGTATGACTTTGAACAAATTAGCATTCAGCAACACACAGATGAGAAATCTGTCATAGTTCCTCAAAACGTATAGTTTTCAGTTTTTGGATTTTCTGGAGTTAATCATCTGGCCTTTCTATATATTTTCTCTGGATTTATAAAACAAAGGGAAGAAAAAGCGAAATTGGGTGGTTAATAATATGGTTCTTGACTGCAACGCCATTTATAGATATTCAGTATCTAGTCAAATATCTTTCCCATTTAATGGTGCTGACTCCTACAATGTTGGAAAAAATTGTGCAGCATGGAAGAACAGGTCATCAGTCGTGCTCATCGGATGGGCGCTAAGCGTCCTATTTATGTAGAAACCTTAACTATGCGTGGCACGATTGAAGAACAAATGATAAGATTCCTAGAGGTACGGTTGCTTTTTTTCTTCATTGCGCTGTAATTATTTAGTCATCAGATGATCAGATGCATTTGGTTAAGATCCGAGAACTTTCTATCAATGGACCAGTAAATGTAAAATGTCCCATGTGTGTGTATTGTTTGAAACAGGATGCTGAAAAGAGTGATAACTTGTTGAGTGGAGATTACGACAAAGTGGAGCAGGAGACAACACGGTGTCGGCGCTCGCTGCATGATTTGGCAGAAAGCAATTACTTGGCTCGTCTTAGCTTTGTCCGATCAGATGGCAATGCATGACTCCATCTGTTAAGTATTCTATCATCTCTAGCTTCAAAATGTCTTTTGCCATCTTAAATATTAGTACCATTTAGCTTATGTATCAGTAACAAGCAGATTTATTAAAACGCAGAAAAACAAAGTGTTTTTTTCGGGTAACCACAGCAATCGATTGTTACACAATTGAGTTTGGATATAAAACTAGGATAAACATAAGGCCCGAGATATGGGTAGAAATGTTAAGAAGCACCAAATCATTTCAAAACATCTTGGTCAAATAGCTCTGTCTCCTTCAACATCATCATTATCACCATCTTTGTCTTGCAGTTTCTTGTAGACGAAACGGTTAGCTATAAACAGATAAAAGCAGAGGCTCACAGCGTTAAGTGATGCAATTACCCAATAAAAGTAATCAAGATGTGCTTTGTTAAGGTTGTTGACGAGCCATTCTCCGCCGTGGCTTTTGCTGATTGTTTGAACTGCCGATATAATCCCGGTACTAACAAAGCTCCCAACTCCAACGACGCTAATAAATGTTGCTGCACCGATACTTCTCATACTCTCGGGCATTTGATCATAGAAGAGCTCTTGCATACCAACAATAGTGAATACATCTCCAATACCAACTAGTATGTATTGGGGAAGTAACCACAAACTACTCATTGGAACAACAACTTTTGGAGAGTCGATTAATCCATGATCTCTCGCAACTTTGAGCCTCTTTGCCTCCACAAGCCCACATATCATCTGTTATAAACACAAAACTTCACAAATTGTTAATTGTGAATCAAAAACACTCTGATCTACCTAATCTGCTTTATCCGCTGCCACCATTCAAAACCTTGG